AATAAAATAACAACAATAACAGTGAAACAATAATGATAATAATATTCTTGTTACTTTTATCCTCAGTCGCCGTTACAACGAATGCATCGGACACAGAAATAGGAAAAAATTAAACTGATTATCAGATGAAAAATTACAGATGTGATTAAAACAAGAATGTTTCCTTTCTTTTTTCTCCTGTTGTTGCTACTCCATTAAAAACTAATAGCAGAAAAGACTAAGAATAAAACTTCAAAAAAAGAAGTTAACAAAAAGATCAAGAAATTTTCCGGAAAAAAAAAAAAACGAGAACGATATTCCTCCTCAGTTTCATTAAAATGCAAAATCTTCTCATTTCACCTATTCACTTTTTTCCTTTCCCTTCCCAACTAATTTTTCAAAATTTCATCCTTTTTTTTATGTCCTTTCCCTTTCAGTTAAGATTTTTGCCTGTACTATTTCTTGTTTTCTCGCTCCAATTTTTCTCTTACACATATTGTAATTTCTGCATAAACTACTACACTTTTTTATCACTATAATTAAATAGAATTAGGGAAAAGGCAAAAAAACCAAAAACGCTCAAAATAAAAACGTTTCAACATCATCCAATTTGATAATGATTATGTTGTTGTTTTGTCAACCAAAGCACAATAAGTGACAAAAGAAGCAGGAAAGAGATGAATAAGGAGACAAAGATGGAGAAGAAGGACAAATATAGAAAACTTTAACAAGTCATAAATGAGATCATTTCTTTTCCCTTACCATCACCGTTACTATACGGTTCTTTATGCTGTTGTATTTATATATATGTATTTTTTTGGCACCCCATTTTCCTCAGTAAAAAGTTTCTAAGAAATTTTTTACCTAATTTTTGAATCTTTTCACTGTATCCTTAATATTATTGATAAAACAAAAGATTATAAGTAGCAAGCAAGCAAGCAAAACAAACAAGCAAAAAGGAAAAAAAAACCTGGAAAGCACTTTAACAGCAAATATAGATGCATTAAAAACACATTATCGTATTGTACCTAAAGAAAGACTTTGTACTAAAAAACAGTTGCTTCAGAACTGAAACTTAAAAAAGGCAATGACAAGGGGTTGAGAGAAGCTGTAACTGAATCTGATGCAGCAACTGAAACTACAACTGAAATTAAACCGTAATTAAATGAACTGAAATAATCATCACTACTATTACCATTAACCTCCTCATTTTCAACATCGTCACCACAGTGCTCGTCATAATTATCGTCATTCCTATTCTTCTTATTATCGTTATTGGTATCACTAACACTTATATTACTAATATTAATACTGATACTAATATTACTTTTAACATTGATAGCAATATTACTGTTACCAATAATATTATTATCACTCTCATCATCGCCACTGTCATCGTCATCATCATCACCATCGTCATTGCCACCATTAATATTATTATTAATATTATTTTTATTATTGTTATTGTTATTATTAGTGCTAGTAGTAGTGGTAGTAGTAGTAGTAGTAGTAGTAGTAGTAGTAGTAGTAGTACGGTAGTAGTAGTAGTAGCGGTAGTAGTAGTAGCAGTAGTAGCAGTAGTAGTGGTAGTACGATTGCTCCTGATAACCAGCCAATTGAAAAAAAAAAAAAAAAAAAAAAAAAAAAAAAAA